TTGTTCTCTTCAGCTTACTCCTGTGTTTTGGTTTCAGAGGATGGACACCTTTTTAATGACTTCCTGAGCTACTTGGGGTGAATTTTTGGACTCACTCTCTCTCTGCCAGTGGCTTTACCTGATATCCTGGCTGACTCTAAAAATCTTAACTTGGAAATTGTCACTGAGAATGTTCACATGACAACGTTGTTTTCTTGCTGCCAGCTTTTCTGAGAGGTCCAGTGCCGTTCTTATTTCCAGTCCTTTGTACATGAACTGTGTTTTTTCTTTAGAAGCTTTTCTTTAACCCTGATGTCTCGAAATGTGTCTTAGTTTGGGATTTTTCCATATCACTTTGCTGGGCACTTACTGGACTCTTTAAATCTAGAGCCAGGGTCTGTGAAATAGCATCCTCAGGTCAGACCCAGCCCATTGCCTATATTTATAATAAAATTCTCTGGGACCCTGACCCGTTGGATTCCGTGTCGTCTGGGGCTGTTTTTTCTTTTTTTGAGATGTAGTTTCACTCTTGTTGCCCAGGCTGGACTGCAATGGATCTTGGCTCTCTGCAACCTCCGCCTCCAAGTTTCAAGAGATTGTCCCGCCTCAGCCTCCTGAGTAGCTGGGACTACGGGTGCCTGCCACCACACCCAGCTAATTTTTGTATTTTTAGTAGAGACAGGGTTTCACCATATTGGCCAGGCTGGTTTCAGACTCCTCACCTCTGGTGATCCATGCAGCTTGGCCTCCCAAAGTGCTGGGATTACAGGCGTGAGCCACCACGCCCAGCCTGGGGCTGCTTTTGTCTAGAGTGGCAGAGTTGTGGCGCGAGTATGGGCCTCAAGCCTAAGTTGTTCTCTGGCCCTTTATAGAAAGTGTGCCCACCGCAGCTCAACAGGCTTAAATCTCCATGCCCCCCGTTCAGAGATGTAGTCATCGTTGTTTGTCTCGTATATTCATTACATTCCATCCAGCTGCTTAATTTCTTCGTCTTAAGAACTGCAGTCTCTGATTCTCTTTGGCCTCCTGTGTCAGTACGTCGTTGTTGACGTTAGCCTTGTGATGACGTTGTTTTGGTCCCCAAATTCCCTTCCTTACTTCTGCATTCCTCTTTTGTCCTTTTCCCTTCCAGTCCGAGTTCCGTTGAGTTCCTATTTTTAGTACGTGTTCTGCCCGGTGCAGTGGCTTATGCCTGTATTCCCAGCACTTTGGGAGACCGATGCGGGCAGATCACCTGAGGTCGGGAGATCGAGACCAGCCTGACCAACATGGAGAAACCCTGTCTCTACTAAAAATACAAAAATTAGCCAGGTGTGGTGGCTCATGCCTATAATCCCAGCTACTTGGGAGGGCGAGGCAGGACAATCTCTTGAACCCAGGAGGTGGAGGTGTGATGAGCCGAGATCCCACTCCAGCCTGGGCAGTGAGTGCAAAACTCTGTCTCAAAAAAGTTAAAAAAGTGCTCTACGGTATAAAGTGCAGGTGACCCTTGAACAGCATGGGTTCGAAATGCACGGGTCACTTATACCTGGATTTTCCTTCACCTGTGCCACCCTGAGACAGCAAGACCAGCCTCGCCCTCCTCTTCCTCAGCTACTCAGTGTGAAGGCCATGAGGATGAAGAACTTGATGATGATCCATTTCCACTCAGTGAGGAGGAACTGCATTTCCTCTTCCTTAGGATTTTCTTCCTGGGATTTGTAGCTTACTGTATTGCAAGAATACAGTATATAATAGCATGAAACATACAAAGTATGTGCCACTTGACTGCTTATGTTATACATAAGGTGTCCAGTCAGCAGAAAGCTGTTAGTAGTTAAGCTTCTGCGGGGGAGGTCGAAGCTTAACGGTGGGTTTCCAACTGTATGGGGGCCAGTGCCCCTGGCCCTTGCATCGTTCAAGGGTCAGCTGTCTGTCCTTCCTGCGTCTCAGGGATTTTTCCTCTTCATCCTTTCCAGCTTGGTCTGGAGCTTGTCTGCAGACCTACTGAGCCCCAGCTCTCCTTATCAAGCTTATGCTGGGTGGCTCTTCTGTGGCTATTTTTTCTCCTTGTGGGGTCTCTGTCCTCGAGGTCTGCAGGAGGGGTTAGTTTTCCTTGCTTGTGCTGGGTGTCTGCTGGGTCCCTCACTGTTCTGAGTGCTGAGGGCACTAGGTCGGCTCTGTTCTTCCCCAGCTCAGCACTGAAGAGCGACATCATCGGACTCTGGTTTCCCCCGGCCAGGGAGCTCCACTCCGAGGGGTTGGGTGGGGCGGGACCACCCTCCGTGGCATTTGGCATCCATGTAATAATATTTGAAACCCTCCAGCTTCAATTCTGTTGGAGTTCATGGCTCCGCTTCTCCTCCGCTATCAGAAGACGGACACGACAAGGTGACCTCCTCAACTGGCTCCCCAGGGGTGTTGGCCGACAGGATCCAGCTGCCACCCCTCCCAGCTCTGCTCTGTGGTGTGGGTGGGCTTAGGGCAGCGCTTGGTGGGCATGTTTAGTTCAGTTCATGAGGTTACACTCTTTTTCTCACTGGGGTGCTGTTGGCTGTTGATCTCCTCTCTGTGGTTTGCCCTCTCTGGTCTCCTCTGGGGAGAGGGCAGCCTGCGGGTCAGGGGCCTCTGTGTGTTCCTGCTTCTCTGGTCATTCCCTGCCCAGCATTCCTCCGTGGGTATTTTTGAACTGTAGCATTTTTATTTCAATTCTGTTACTAACTAATGTATCATCCTGAGCCATTCCTTCCTCAAAGCACCCTGTTCTTGTTTCCTGGATGTAACGCCTTGTTTCAGATGAGGCGACAGTTTTTTTGGTTGTTGTCTTTTATTTACTTATTTTTAATTTTTTTTTTTTGAGATGGAGTCTTGCTTTGTCACCAGGCTGGAGTGCAGTGGCATGATCTTGGCTCACTGCAACCTCCACCTTCTGTGTTCATGTGATTCTCCTGCCTTAGCCAACTGAGTAGCTGGGACTACAGGCATGTGCCATGGTGCCCAGCTAATTTTTGTATTTTTAGTAGAGGTGGGGTTTCACCATGTTGGCCAGGATGGTCTTGATCTCCTGACCTCGTGATCCGCCTGCCTCGGCCTCCCAAAGTGCTGAGATGACAGGTGTGAGCCACCGTGCCTGGCCTGTGGTTGTTGTCTTTTAATAGGACTTGCTTTTTAGAGCAGTTTTAGGTTCTCAGCAAAAGAGCGGAATGTACAGAGATTTTCCATGTTACCCCACAGGTTCCCCGATCATCAGATCCCCCAGCAGAGTGCCCTTTGGCCACAGTTGATGAACCTCTGTTGACATGTTCCCGTCACCTGCAGTGCACGTGTCCGTGAGGGCTCGCTCCTGGCGTGGTGCGTTCATGAGTTGGGCAAATGCACTGTCGCATCACACAGAGTAGTGCCACTGCCTTGATCCTCTGTGCCCTGCCCGTCCGTCCGTCTCCCTAACTCCTGGCCATGGCCGTTTTCAGTGGTTCCAGAGTTTCATGCATTCCGGAATGTCCTGTCGTTGACTCGAGCCTCTGCAGCCTCTTCACGTTGGCATCCTGCACTTACTGGTGCGTGTTTAGATTTCTCGTGCTTTTTCATGGCTTGATGTACTGGTTAGTTCTCTGTTGTCTGCATGGGCCACAGTTTACTTGTCACTCTTCTACAGGACATGTTGGTTGCTTCCAGGTTTTGGCAGTTATGGACAGAGCTGCTGTAACAACCACAGCAGCTTTGTATGGGTCTAAGTTTTTTTTGTTTTGTTTGTTTGTTTGTTTTTGAGACGGAGTTTCGCTCTTGTAACCCAGGCTGGAGTGCAATGGCGCAATCTCGGCTCACCGCTACCTCCGCCTCCTGGGTTCAGGCAGTTCTCCTGCCTCAGCCTCCTGAGTAGCTGGGATTACAGGCACGCGCCACTATGCCCAGCTAATTTTTTTGTATTTTTAGTAGAGACGGGGTTTCACCTTGTTCACCGGGATGGTCTCAATCTCTTGACCTCGTGATCCACTCGCCTTGGCCTCCCAAAGTGCTGGGATTACAGGCTTGAGCCACCGCGCCCGGCCAAGTCTAAGTTTTTTGTTTTGTTTTAAGACACAGGGTCTCACTCCATTGCCCAGGCTGGAATGCAGTGGCCCAGTGTGGCTCACTGTACCCTCAAACTCCTGGGCTCAAGCGATCCTCCCACCCAGCCTCCCAGGAGTACAGGTAGTTGAGGTCTCACTATGTTGCTCGGGCTGGTCTTGAACTCCTGGGCTCAAGCGATTCTCCTGCCTCAATTTTGCAAAGTGTTGGGATTGCAGACATGAGCCACCGTGCCCAGCCTCCTTGGGGTCCCTTTCTTTCAGGTGGTTTTGATCTGTCTTCATGTAGGAGGCAGAAAGAGGCTGTGGGCCCCTGTTGCGGGTAGGGTTGTGGTCCGGTGGCCTTGCTGTGGGCTGGCCGGGGCAAGAACGTGGACTCAGTCTGGGGCTCAGCAGCCCTAGGAGTGTCAGGGCTGTGGCCTGTGTGTGGCCAGCACTGAGGGGCAGGAGAGACTTGTCAGGCCTCCAGTGGCCTGGGGAGGGAGGAGGGAGGAGAGGGGGAAGGAGGCCAGCCAGGCCCCAGAGCAGCGTCTTCCTGAACATGACTGGAAACCCTTGGATCTGATGGCCGGGCCAGAGCCACTGCGGACCTCCCTCCTCCTCCTGTGTCCTCTCTCCTAGAGGGGCTTTCAGGCTCAGCACACAAAAGCGCGGGATACCCAGGTCTGTCTGAGATGAGCAGCGGATGATCTGTAGGTGTGTCCTATGTGGTCTTTGGGATACACTAAAAAACCATTTGTTGTTGATGTGAAATTCCAATTTAACCTGTACCCTGTACCCTGTGTTTTCTCTGACAGCCCTGTCCCCAGCGCCCCTTGTGATGGGGTGGGCTGCAGTCCAGGGGTGCTGCTCAGCGTCTGGACAGCCCCCACCACAGAGAATGATGAGGCTGAGAAAGCTCCCACGCCGGGGCTCTTGTGTGGCGGGTCTCCTGGTGGTCTTCAGGTGTGGCAGGGGCTGGGGTGGGCCCGGGGTCACATCCCAGCTCAGGTGGTCCTGAGAAGCTGCCTGGTAGACATTCACTGGCACAGAGGGCTGGAAAGTGCCCTCAACCCCAGAACCTGAGTCCTGTGAGGACATCCACTCTGTGTGAGGCCAGGGAGTGCCTAGCAGATGTGGGTGGCAGGGGGTGTCAGCATGGGTGGGGGTCCCTGCCAAGGCAGGCAGCTGAGCTGGCCCTACCTCAGAGCGCAGGGGCCCAAAGCTTGGTCTTCTTAGGGCCCCACTCTGGACCAATGAACCCATGGGGCACCCTGACACCACCTTGCCTGCTCATCCTTAGCTCCTGCCCTTGCCCTGCAGGGCTCTGCAGCCTCCCCTGTGCCTGTGTGTCTCGGCTCACTAGACCCTGGACTTGCGGTCCCTCAGCCACACTCCAATCCCCTTATTCTGTCCTGCTACTCGGCCTGGTGCTGCTCAGCTCCTCCCTGCCTGTCTAGGGCCCAGCACCATGTGCCCTGACCTCACATTTGTCCCTCTGTCCAGGTCCCCTGCTCACCTGTGTTTTAGTCCGTCTTCATCTGCTGACCGCACTGTGGATTTTAAAAATACAAACATGCATGCACGTGGTTAAGAACTCGCTGATGTCAGGCAGCTGGAATGAGAGTACTGCCCGCTGCCTTCTCTCTTGTAGCTCTCGGACACTGCAGGGGAAGCTTCTTGTTTTTTTCCCACATCTTATTTAGAAATAATTATAGATTTCACAGGAAGTTGCAAAAAAAAGAAAAAAACACCTGTTGGAGGAGCTGGCACAGACCTGTCCCCGGTTCCCTGATTGCACATGCAGGGCACGTGTGGGGTGTCTGGATTTGCTTGTCTTGCTGTGTGCCTGTGTGCACCCACAGGTATAACGCTGCGATTTTATCCCGTGTGGATACCTGTGGCCATGATCAGGCCCACATGGCTTCCCGCTCCTGCCTCTGCATGGGCACCCCCGACACCCGGAAACTTGTTCTCCAGCTGTAGAATTGTGTCATCTCAGGAGTGTATAGACGTATGCACCGGCCTTAGGCTTTGCCCTCCGTTCCCTCATCATAGCGCCCTCACATCCGCCCACATCTGTCCATCTCCTGCTCCGTGTTCTTGCTGAGAGGTCCCCCGTGGTGTGGTGACACCTTGATTCTCCCTCTGTGGGCTTTCGCTGCAGGTTTTTTGTGAGCCGCCGTCTCCGTTCCTCAGTGATCCAGGCCCAGGAGTGAGGGGCCAGGCCTCAGGGGAGTTGCTTGTTTGGTGTTGTGAGGCCCTGCACCCTGTCTTCCAGAGGGGCGCCCATTCTGCCTCCCCACCAGCAGCGTGCCAGTGACCTGGTTTCTCCTCGTGCTGGCCAACGGTCAGGGCCGCCACTGCGTCTGTTTCCCTGGTGGCATGGTGACCTTTTCGCAGCGCACCTGCGGCTGCCCCCTGTGCTGTCCTTACTGTTCTTCCCGGCATCTCAGCCTCACGTGTGTAAATGACATGTGTTCCCCTGCCTCGCCGGTACCGTTGCTGTCCTGGAGGGTGGGCTGGCTCCACTGGCTGTGGCAGCTGGCGCTGTTCACCCTCCCTGAGGCAGGGTCCTCAGGGAGATGTGTATGGCTGCTGCTTCCAGGTGACGAGCATGAGCATTCCCTGTGGCTGCTGGCACATGGGTGTGACCACAGGGTGGAGTGAGACTGCAGAGATGAAGGTGGCAGGCCCCTGCGTGGCACCTGAAGCTTGGGTGACTGGCAAGGACTGAGCCCTCTCCTGGCGGAAGGGGCTGGGCCACCTGCTCTTGGGCTTCTTTCTGGCAGGTTCTCTGGGGGTCTTGCCACCTCCGTCTCAGCTCTCACTGGGCTGTGGAGCCCTGTGCAGTCCACACCTGCAGTCAGCCCCGGCCACGGAGGCTGCTCAGCCCAGGTGTCTCCACTTGGTGCCCCACCTGACATGCCCCACGCTGCCTGGGCCTCTCCTCTGTGTCCCTTTGTAAGTGGCCCTGCCATCCATCTGGTCGGGTTATTCGTGGGGTGGTGCCTGCTGAAATCCTCTGAGGAGGGCTGCCTTGGGGCCCATTTGGGATCTGAGACTTGGCTTGGGGAGGCAGGTGGTAGGCTCAGGCAGAGTAGGCCTCAGGCATGCTGCACCTCCCCGACCTGCCTCCTGGGCTCCCGGGTCCTCCCTCCTGCCCACCTTAGGACCTTCCAGCTCCCCGATGGCTTCCTGGGGCTAGAACAGACAGGTCTGGTTCTCTGGCTGTGCACACTGTTCCCCTGCTAGGCCCTGCCTGGCCCTGCTCCCCCATCCAGTGAACTGTTGCTTCTGCCCTAGGCTCTCTGGACGGTGCCCTTGGACAGGCCATTGTAGTCCCTGGGGAGGCGGGGTCTGTCTGAGCTGGCCCCTTGAGCTCCCTTCTGGATGCTTAGACCTGAGCTCTGGTGGCGCAGCTACGCGTGAGTGCGGCAGGGCTCTCCGGGCGCCAGTCTGGGTGTACCCTGCTGGCCCTGATGCGCATTGTCAACATGCAGCTCCGCATGGCTGTGGGTGCTGCGCTCTGTGCTGGTCTCCACGGTGTGCGTGTCTAGCTGTGAGCGTGGCTCCTTTGCGGGGACCGGGCGCTTGCCCTGAAGGTGCAGCCTCTTGTGGCTGAGGGCAGGGCTCTTTGCATTGGTCGCCATGGTGCTGTCATCTGCCTGGGTAAGGCGTGCTCCGTCGGGCAGCCCTTTCTGACCCAGGCGCTTGGTGAGCCGGCAGCATGTGCCCTGCCTCTCTCCCTGCAGGCTCCGGGAGCACTTGGAGGAGATGTCTGGCTTCCTTCTGGAGTGTGACAGCTCCGTGCAGGGCGCGCTGCAGAAGCACCTGGCGCTGTACAGGATCCGACGGAAGGTCACGGTGGAGCAGCACCCGGATCTGCGAGTGTGGGCGGTGTTACCCCGTTCCCCTGAGGCCTTCGGGGCTGCACCACTGCAGGAGAGGGCAGGGACTGATGCCATCCTCATCCGCGACCCGCGAACACCAAGCATGGGGTGGCGGCTCCTCACACAGAATGAAGGCCCAGCCCTGGTTCCCGGGGGCCGGCTCGGGGACCTGTGGGATTATCACCAGCACCGGTACCTGCAAGGTATGGGCTGGGTGGGCACACTGGGCTGGATTGCACGGGTGGGGCTGGACGCCCTCAATTCTCGCTGGTTTCCCCCTCCAATCTCTGCAGGCGTTCCTGAGGGGGTCCGAGACTTGCCTCCAGGGGTGGCTCTGCCTCTGGAGTCCAACCTGGCCTTCATGAACGGCGTGAGTTTCACCAAAGGCTGCTATATCGGCCAGGAGCTGACGGCCCGCACCCACCACATGGGCATCATCCGCAAGCGCCTCTTCCCTGTTCGGCTCTTGGACCCCCTTCCCACCAGTGGTATCAGCCCCGGTGCAGAGGTGCTAACTGAGTCAGGACAGACTGTGGGCAAATACAGGGCTGGCCAGGGCAACGTGGGGCTGGCCCTGCTGCGCTCAGAGAAGATCAAGGGTCCTCTGCACATCAGAGCCTCCAAGGGCGCTCAGGTGGCCTTAGCTGCATCTGTGCCAGACTGGTGGCCCACGGTCTCCAAGTAGCCCGAAGCCTTGGCTGGCACTGGCTGGTGGGGAGGCTGGGGGCTGGGGGCTGGGGCCTGGGGCCTCTGTCTGGGGTCTTCCCGTCCCATCTGTCTGCTGTGCCTGCTGGGCGGGATCCTGCTTCCCACCTGGGAGAGTCCCCCTTGGTGGCGCCCTGCCTGGCCCCGCCCATGCTCAGGGGCCCCATCTTGTGGGTTGTTTTCTCCCTGAGCATCCTGTAGCCCCAGAGGAGAGAAGTGGCCAGAGGAGCCCACCAAGTGGGTGTTAAGCCCCACGGGGCGCTGGGCCCCAGTCGTAGCTCCACACAGGGTTGTCTGAGAGGATGGGGCGGCGTCTCTGGCCAGCCCTGGCAGCCTCCGGGCCTTGCACCCCACTCTGCCCGGCATGAGCCTCGGGAGTTGGTTTCTGTGCCTGGAAGCTGGGTGCTGTCCAGGGTCTGCGCACTGGGGCTGGGGCTTTGGAGTTGCCTAACTGTGCTTGCTTGCAGGGTGCCTCAGGGTGGGTTGTGTGTGGTCCAGAGGGGTCTGGGGCATTGGATCAGGTGGCATATAGGCGTCTGTACATGGAGGAGCACGTGCTGCACACCTGAGCCAGGTACACCTCTGTACCGGGGCACCAGGGCTGAGCCTTCAGGTATCCCATGCGGAAGGCTGTGCCCGCAGCCCCTGTTTCTCCACTTCCACCCCTCCTCAGAGCCCTCTAGGAGTGTGGAGTGGGGCCGGCGCAGGGCTTGGGAGCTAGCAGGGCGGAGTTAGTGCGACCAGTGTGTGCTGGGTTTCTGCATAGCCTGTGTTTGCAGTGAGAGTGACTTGCTGTCAGCCATGGGGCATGGCCTCCACTTCACCCACTGGGTTCCCTCTTCCCATTGAAGTGTGAGCTCCATGTTTCAGGGCATCCATTAAAGAGTGAGCCACCGGTAGCCTGCTAAGAGCTCTAGTCTTATTTGGGGGAGAGGGAGGCTAGGGCTTAGTTTCTGGGATCTGGCTGACTGGACCCTGGAATAACTCTCCTTGAGAACATGCAGACACACCAGATGAAGTACGGGCGTGGCTGCAGGCCAGCAGGGGGGGCCTCAGAGGCCCAGACTGGGTGTGTGGTGCCACGTCTGCAGAGCGCAGCCATGTGGCTGCAGGGCGCGGGGCCTGGGGCAGGCATTTGGGTCTTCACGCTTGACCTTGGGTGGCCACGAGGGACAAGCAGGCAGGGAGCCTGTGTGGCCATCCTGGTGCTGGGGGACCACAGGCCCTCTCTAAAAACCTGCAGCTCCAGCGCTTTCGGGGCCAGGGCCTGGGGTCTAAAGGCAGCTCTGAGCTGCATTGTAGCTTGTATCACCCAGGAGGACGCATGGGAGGAGGTGGCTGCAGCTAGAGGGGAGAGGAGGGCCGTCCAGCCCCAGCCCTGCCATCGGCTCTTCCATGGGCAAGGAAACAGCTAGGTGGCCCTTACCTCTGGGGTCCAGAGAGCCAGTGGCCTTCAGCCCCTCTTGGACAGGTCACACTCAGCACAGGATGGATTCCAGACCAGCATCCCTGCCCCCTTCCAGCCCCACTGGCTGCTGCTTTAAACTGGCATGGAGACAGTTGAGTGGCTTCCCAGCCAGTTCTCTCTCCAGCTCAGCCAGGGGTGGGTGTCTGTGGCCTGTGTCACCAAGAGCTGTTGTCTCCTGCCTGGGGGGCGTGGACCCTGGAATGAGGGTCTGTGCCTTGAACTCAAAGTGCCCCAGCTCCCGCACCTGCCCAAGGTTGCCTGGTGTTTCCAGCAGGGCCTCCTTGAGTGCGGCAACCTCTGGGAGCATCCTAGCCTTGGACTCGGCAAATGGTCCCACAGGTGTGGCCGGGTGAAGGCCGGGAGGTGAGCCAGGAAGGAAGGGCTCCCCTCTAGAGCGAGACGCCACTTGAGCGGTCCTGTGACCCTCAGTGTCTTCAGGTCTCTGCAGGTGTCAGGATATCAAAATACTTGGTTCAGTTCAAACACACACATCCCATGTTCTGTGTCTTTTCTTTTTTTGAGATGGAGGACCCAGGCTGGAGTGCAGTGGTGTGATCTCGGTTCACTGCAGCCTCCATCTCCTGGGTTCCAATGATTCTCCCGCCTCAGCCTCCCAGGTAGCTGGGACTACAGGCACCCCCCATCATGCCAGGCTAATTTCTGTATTTTTAGTAGAGATGGGGTTTCACCATGTTGGGCAGGCTGGTCTCAAACTCCTGACCTTGTGATCCGCCCGCCTTGGCCACCCAGAGTGCTGGGATGACAGATGTGAGCCACCATGCCTCCTCTCTTCTGTGTCTTTAAAAAGGAAAGTGTCAGGCACCAAAAGATCTCCTCTGTCGTACAAACCAAATCAGGTTTCACCAGAATGTCCTTAGTCCTCTCAGAAAGGCCTGGCCTCGAGGACTTGGAAGCAGGCCCTGAAGCGCATCAGCAGGGTTGGGCTTTGCGTTCAGGAGCACTGGGACCTGCTGAGAGCTCGTGCGGCTGCTCCTAAACTGTGCGCTGCTCTTCCGTCTGCTGTAGTTTTGTAAAAACATAGCAAGTTCCTCTGTGTGTGTATGATTGCCTGTGTGTGTGATTGCCTGTGTGTGTGTGATTGTGATTGCATGTGTGTGAATGTGATTGCGTGTGTGTATGTGATTGCCTGTATGTGAGTGTGTGATTGCCTGTGTGTATGTGACTACCTGTGTGTGTGTGATTGCATGTGTGTGAGAATGTATGTGTGTGATTGCCTGTGTGGTTGTGTATGTGTAATTGCATGTGTGTATGTGATTGTTTGTGTGATTGCATGTCTGTGTGTGTGATTGCCTGTGTGTGTGTGATTGCTTGTGTGTGTGATTGCCTGTGCGTGTGTGATTGCCTGTGTGTGTGATTGCATGTAAGAGTGTGTGTGATTGCCTGTGTGATTGTGTGATTGCATGTGTGTATGTGATTGCCTGTGTGTGTGATTGCATGTCTGTGCGTGTGTGTGATTGCCAGTGTGTGTGTGATTGTATGTGATTGCCTGTGTGTGTGTGATTGCATGTGTGTGTGTGTGTGTGTGTGTGTGAGAATTGGTGGTGTGAGGTGCAGCTGTGTTCTATGGGTGTGGTGTATGGTGGTGAGGTCTGGGCTTCTCACCCTCACCCCCCCCACCGCCGCCTCCACTCTTCAGAATCCCCCACGTCTGCACTCCACTCTCTGAGCCCACGTTGCCTGTTGTGCAGCTGCTGTTTATGAGGCAGGGCGTGCAGTGTGCGGCGCTGTTTCTGAACTGTTTTTCTTTAACACAGTGTATGGTGCTTACATTTTCCTTTTAAAGCCAGATGTAGGCAGGTGTGGTGGCTCACACCTGTGATCCCAGCACTTTGGGAGGCTGAGGCCAGAGGATTGCTTGAGCCCAGGAGTTTGAGAGCAGCCTGGGCAACATATCAAGACTCTGTCTCTTAAAAAAAAAAATTAGCCAGGCGTAGTGGTGCCTGTGGTCTGAGGTACTTGGGAGGCTGAAGTGCAAGGATCACTTGAGCCCAGGAAGTGGAGGCTGCAGTGAACCATGATTGTGCCACTGTACTCCAGCCTGGGCAATCGAGCAAGACCCTGTCTCAAAACAAAGAATTAAAAAAAAGAGAAGTTGCAGTTGGTAGTATTTCCTGGAGCATGGCAGACACAGTGTAGAAATGTCTGTTTGACCTCCAAATTGGGAGCTGTTTGAAGAAATGACTCCAAAGTTCAGTACAGAAAGACCTCAGATAGAAGACATCCCGAGAAGTGTATGTTCACTGTAAAATCATCTTCCAGTCCCAAGGAGCAAGCTCCCTGTTCTGTGTTCTTGTATGAGACGATCGGTCAAGTGTAGCCCGAGAGGACAGGCAGGAGCCCTGGAGAGCCTCGGCCAGACCTTCCCTGGGGCTTCCCCAGGAAAGGTGAGGCAGGGTGGCTGTTCAGCTGGCCAGCTGGAGTGATTTCCATGGGCTCCAAGCTGTAGGAGTGGTCCCTGGCTGCCTGAGTGCTTTGGCCAGATAGAGGTGGGCTGTGGACTGGTGAGGTTGCATTGCAGAGGTGTGCACCCAGCTGGGCCCTTATCTCTAAGGACTGGCTGGCCTGGAGGGGCAGTCTCCCAGCCAGAAGAGTTTTTTTTTTTTTTTTTTAATGAGACATAAAACAGCACAGAAGGTTTTTTTTTTTAAATATGTCAAAACATCCTAAGGTACAGGAAATAAATTGTAAACACACACACACACACACACACACACACACTCTACCATAAGCAAGGCCCAGCAAAAAGACAGAAGCAAACACATCAGTGTTCTGATCCTAGAGTAAGCAGACACATCACACGGAATGGGGATGGTTAATATGTTTAAAGAAAACAAGGAATTTATGTGCAGGAAACGAGAGACTATAAAAATGACCAAGCAGATTTTGAAAAGAGAACTTGTTGAAATAAAAATGGAATTTCCTAAAAAATAATCCATGATGTCTTTCCTGAAGAATCAGGAGCTATTTGAAGAAAATGACCCCAAAGAGCAACACAGAAAGAGCTAGAAAAGATGAGACGGGACGGGGACAAGAAGACAGTTTAGTATAGCATCCGCAGTTTATGGTAATTCCAGAAGGAGGGGAGAGAGAATATGGCAAGTATTCAGAGATATATGGCTGAGAACTTTTCCGAAGCTATGGGAGCCCCTGCTCCCTAGATTCAGGAACCCAGCGGCTCTCAGGCAGCATAGTCAGAAAGCTGTACTCAGTCACATCTTGGTGAAAATGCAGAAGCCGGTGACAGAGATCTTGAAGGTTGGCAGGAAAGAAAAAGATTAAGTGGTTTATTAAAAGCAACAGTGGAAGCCAGAAAGAAAGTAAATAATATCTTCAAAGTCCTGGGGGACGTAGTGATAGCTAGAATTGTGTACCCAGAAAATCTATCAATAATGAAGGGCTGGGCACAGGGGCTCACGCCTATATTCCCAGCACTTTGGGAGGCTGAGGCAAGTAGATCACCTGAGGTCAGGTGTTCAAGACCAGCCTGACCAACATGGCAAAACCCCATGTCTACTAAAAATAGAAAGATTAGCTGGGCATGGTGGCACATGCCTGTAATCCCAGTTATTCAGGAAGCTGACGCAGGAGAATCCCTTGAACCCAGGAGGCGGACGTTGCAGTGAGCCGAGATCTCACCATTGCACTCTAATCTGGGCGAGAGTGAGACTCTATCTCAAAAAAAAAAAAGAAAAAAGCCCAGGCACAATGGCTTACGCCTGTAATCCCAGCACTTGGGAAGCCGAGGCTGGCAGATTTCCTGAGCTCACGAGTCTGAGACCAGCCTGGGCAATACGGTGAAACCCCGTCTCTACTAAAATACAAAAAGTTAGCTGGGCATGGCAGCGTGCACCTGCAGTCACAGCTACTCAGGAGGCTGAGACAGGAGAATTGCAAGAACCTGGGAGGCGGAGGTTGCAGTGAGCTGAGATGACACCACTGCACTCCAGCCTGGGCGACAGAGCGAGACTCCATCTCAAAAAGAGGGCTGAAGGCATTTTCAGACCAGGAAACCCCCCCAGAGTTTGCTGCCACTAGAGCCCAGAGCGTCTAAGGCATGTCTGGGCAGAAGGAAAGGGAACCTGTGGGTTAGCTGGAGGTGAAAGAAGGAATGAATAGGTAGGAAGGTGGATTTGTGGGCATGTCTAAAACACCACATCTAGAAGCTCCTACTTAGAATGCGTAATTTTGGAGTTTATAAAATGATGCCACATGTGAGTTGGGTGAGAGGTGCCCAAATCTACAGGGTTCGAAGATCCCTCTTCTGGCTAGAAGGAGGGCTGGACACTGGCTTCAGCACCGTTACTAGGCTTGTCAACATTTTCAGATAATCTCTAAAAGAATGGAAATACATCCTCCAGGCCGGGCGCAGGAGGCAGAGATTGCAGTGAGCCCAGATCGCGCCATTGCACTCCAGCCTGGTGACAGAGCGAGACTCCATCTCAAAAAAAAAAAAAAGAAAAGATGATACTTATACTCAATGGATGTAGACTACATTATTCATCCATGAAAGAGAATGAAATCGTGTCACTAGCAGCAACATGAATGGAACTGGAGGTCTTTAAGTTGAGTGAAATAAGCCAGGCACAGAAAGAGCTTTGCATGTTCTCACTTTCACGTGGGAGCTGAAGCAGTGGACCTCGTGGAGATGGAGAGGACGGGTGGGTCCTAGAGGCCCGGGAGGGTGGGACGTGGAGACAAGACAGGTTGATGAATGGGTACAAACATATGGTTTGACGGGATAAGACCTGTTTCGGGGGCAGTAGGGTGACTAGTTTACAGTAAGCAGTTCCATGTTTTCAAACAGCTAGAAGAGAGTAATTCAGATGTTTCTAGTGTAAAGGCAAATGGTGAAGGTGATGAAGACACCCCAGGTATACTGATTTGATCTCTATAACTTGTATGGAGATACTGAATTATCACATGTACCCCAAAACTATGCATCAACTGGAAAAAAAAGTATCACAGGCTTAAATGGAAAACATAAAACTACAAAACCTTAGAAAAAATAGAAGAGGCTGGACATGGTAGGTCACACCTGTAATCCCAGCACTTTGGGAGGCTGAGGTGGGTGGTTCCCTTGAGGCCAGGAGTTTGAGACAAGCCTGGGCAACATAGTAAGAGCCCATCACTACAAAAATAAATAAATAAACTAATTTATTTATTTAGATTCCTCTGGGTATCTATGTGGAAGTGGAATGGCTGGATTATGTGGGAGTGCTGTGAGTTGGTTTTTGAGGAACCTCCACACTGTGGTGATGGCTGCAGCATTTTACATTCCCAGCAGCCATGTGCAAGCGCTCCCGTTCCTCCACATCCTTGCCAACACTTGTTATTTTCTGCTTTTGGATAGTCGTCATTCTAATGGATATGAGGTAATTTCTTGTTTATTTTATTTTAATTTTTTTTGAGCCTGGGTGTCACCCCGTCACCCCGGCTGGAGTGCAACCTCTGCCTCCCAGGTTTGAACAGTTCTCCTGCCTTGGTCCCCCGAGTAGCTGAGACTACAGGTGCGTGCCACGTTGCCCGGCAAATTTTGCATTTTTAGTAGAGATGGGGTTTCACCTTGTGGCCAGGCTGGTCTGAAACTCCTAAGCTCAAGCGATCCACCTGCCTCCCTAAGTGTTGGGATTACAGGCGTGAGCCACTGCGCCTGGCCTGGTACAAGGTGATTTCTCGTGGTTTCGGTTTGCATTTCTCTGGTATGTGGAAGTGGAATGGCTGGATTACGCGGGAGTGCTCGTGTGCTTTTTGGTTGTGTGTCTTCTCTGGAGAAGTGTTGATTTGAGTCCTTCACCTGTTTTAAGGTCAGATTGTTTGTCACTGTTGATTCATTCATCAGGTGCCTGGGCTGCCCCCATCTCAGGCCCGCTGTGAGTGGTGCTGTTCACATCCCCTGCATGGAAAAGCAGGTAACTTGGTTTTCAAGCAGTCACTGACAGTGACGCAGCCGGCCCTCCTCACAGCGCCCCAGCATACCTGAGGCCAAACCCAACCAGCCTAGGAAGGACCTTGGGGTGGGGGCCCATGGGGTGCTAGGTCTGCAGTCCCCCACTGGGGAAGGGTGGGGGCACTGTTCAGAAACTAGCCCTAGAAAATGGTACTTTAAAAAAAATTTTAGAGACAGGGTCTCGCTATGTTGCCCAGGCTGGAGTGCAGTGGCTATTCACAGGCGCGGTCCCACTGCTGATCAGCACGGGAGTTTTGACCTGCTCCATTTCTGACCTGGGCCCGTTCACCCCTCCTTAGGCAACCGGATGGTCCTCTGCTCCCGGGAGGTCACCATGTTGATGCTGAACTTAGTGGGGACACCCGATCGGCATAGCTCATCATAACCCAGAACTCCTGGGCTCAAGTGATCCTCCCACCTCAGCCTCCCAAGTAGCTGGGACTACAGGCACGCAGCACCATGCCCGGTGAAAATGACACTTCCTGCAGACCCCAATAAGCATTCTACTGCAGAGAATGGAGGGATGTGTGGGCCAGGTGGGCTGTCCCACTGCGAGGGGATCCCAAGTGGTGAGGGTCTGGGGACACACAGCCTGCGCCCCGGCGCCAGGTGGGCGGGTCAGCAGGGGCGTTTCTTGGATTTAATGTCCTGACTGGGAGTGGGTTGAGCCCCCTCTGTGTATCGGCCACGCCTGTCCCTTTCTGTCGCAGGCCTTTCCAAGCCCCTTGTCCTTCTCGCCGGTTTTGTAGGAGTTACCTGCGTGCCCTTGTCTGTTCTATGCATTGCTTGTCTCTTTCTTTCACGGTGTCTTTTGGGACAGGCTTTCTTAATTCCAATGCAGTGGACTTTATTTTTCTTATGGTTTGTGCTTTTTGTGCCTTGCCTACCCTGACTTCATGCAGCTATGATCTAACTTCTAAGACTTCTGTAGTCACACCTTTCTATTGATGAATGAATGAATGAGAGGGTATCGTTCCGTCACCCAGGTTTGAGTGCAGTGGCCCAGCCTCGAATTCCTGGGCTCAAGCAATTCTCCCACCTCAGCCACCCAAGTAGCTGGGACCACAGGCGTTGTGCCACCACACCTGGCTAATTTTTGTAGAGACGGGGGTTCACCTTGTTGTCCAGGTGGGTCTTGACCTGGGCACAAGCAATCTGCTTGCCTCTGCCTCCCAGAGAGCTGGGGTTCCAGATGTGAGCACCGCACCTGGCCCGGACCTTTCTTCTGTAGATTCTTTTTTTCAAGATGGAGTCTCACACTGTCACCTGGGTTGGAGTGCAATGGCACGATACTGGCTTACTGCAACCTCCACCTCCCAGGTTTGCGCAGTTCTCCTACCTCAGCCTCCCAAGTAGCTGGGATTACAGACGCGTACCACCACACCCGGCTAATTTTTTGTATTTTTAGTAGAGATGGTGTTTGACCATGTTGACCAGACTGGTCTTGAACTCCTGATCTCGTGATCCGCCCGCCTCGGCCTCCCAAAGTGCTGGGACTGCAGGCGTGAGCCACTGCACCCGGCCTCTGTAGAATTTTAATATACTTGGGGTCGATGTGCACATATGATGTGAGGTGGGAATGAACATCTCTGGTTGACATAACTAGTTGTCCTAACAACATTCACTGAAAGTCCGTCTTTCCCCACTGACCCCGGGTGCCGGTGTGGTCAGACTCCATGCACTCACCTGTGTGAGTCTGTTTCTGGACTGCTCATTCTGCTGCCCCTGGTCTGTTTGATGTCTTACCTACTGTACTGTGAGCATCTTTCTGAGTAACTGGCATGGCGCCGTCACAAGCTAAGGCAAGCTAAGGTCTTCTTCAGGTAGCATCTTGGCTGCTTTGGCCGTCACTTACCTGTGAGAGTTTTAGAGTCAGACTTTTTACAGTCTGCACACATACTCATGCATACACACAGTAGCTTTTGGGTCAGCATTGCATTCATTGTGTAGGTCAAGTTGGGGAGAACTGGTATCTTTGTGTTACTGAGTTTTCAAGCCCCCAAAACATTGCACATTTCTCTGCTTATTTATGCCGACTTTAATTCTGCAAAATCTGTATAATTTTTCTGAAGTCCGTATATATCTTTTCTGAAATTTAGTCATTTAAAATAATGTTAATACTGTAGCAAAAGACATCCTTGTGAAATGGCATCTATCTAATTTTTATGTTACTGATGTTTAGAAATAAATTTGCTAAATTTTAAATGTTCTTAATAATTATTTTCTGTATAGATAGGTTGGGGCTTTTACTGTAGGCAATCATGATCTCAAATTAATGACGCTTTTATTTGTGTCTGGTAATCCATAAACGTTTACTTTTTCCCCATTCCTTTCTCTGATGGGTCAAGTTAAACAGAGGTGCTGGTGCCTCATTCGGCTCTTGATCTGAAAGGAAATTTCATTATTGTTTTACCACTTGGTCTGGAGGTTGCTGACATTTCTTGGTAGGTGCTCTTTCTGAGGTTGAGAAAGTTCTTATAACTGGAAATCCTAGTTTACTAAGATATTTTTTTGTGTAAAATCACAAATGGTTGTTGAAGTTTATCAATTTGGGGTGTAGGAATTCAAGTGAAGATGTTTTTAAAGGAACCTGTCCATATCACCCGTTTTCAAGTTTCAACGTGTGCTCCACTAAATCTCACGTTGAAGTGGCGTCCCCAGTGTTGGAGGCAGGTCTGGTACACGGTGTTTGGATCATGAGGGCAAATCTCTTTAACACCTAGCTTTCATCCTCTGAACTCGGGTCCTGCATCCTTGAGACAACCCCACACTCAAGATGGAGTGAGAGTGACAGAGGCAAACAACACTTCAACATTACCATGGAAACCACTGAGACTCAGGGGTCACAAGAGGGCCCTAGGGACCCACAGGCTGCTGGGACCATACTTCGAGAACCACAGGTCTGCGGCTCTGATCAGCTGCTTATACTTGGGCTCTGTTTCAGATTTCATTTTAAGGTGGGATTCAGGAGCCAGGCTGAAAATTTCAGGATGAAGGAGGAGGCCTGAGCCCCAGGCCTGCTGCTTGGTGAGTGTTTGAGGCTGCTCCTGTCCTCAACCGAGTTGGGACCTGTTTTTTTTTAAAATACAAATGGCATGCGTACTTGTTGAGTAAAATTTAACACTACAGAAGCACATGGAGTAGAGCCTGTCTGTTTCCCATTTCCTTGAAGGTCACCATGTTAAGCAGTCTGTGCTCGCCTCCAGATGCATCTGCGCGCTCAGACACAGCTGTCTCTGTCCCAGATGCATCTGCGCGTGCACACACAGGTGTCTGTCCCAGATGCATCTACGTACGCGGACACAGCTCTCTCTGTCCCAGATGCATCTGCGCGTGCACACAGGTGTCTGTCCCAGATGCATCTGCGTGCACGGACACAGCTCTCTCTGTCCCAGATGCATCTGCACGTGCACACAGGTGTCTGTCCCAGATGCATCTGCGTGCACGGACACAGCTCTCTCTGTCCCAGATGCATCTGCACGCGCGCACGCAGCCATGTCTGTCCCAGATGCATCTGTGCGCACGGACACAGCCGTCTCTGTCCCAGATGCATCTACGTGTGCAGACACAGCTCTCTCTATCACACAGTTACATCCACACACACCACCTTCACCTGGCCCCTTTCCCAGCTTTGCTGGGGTTTCACCCTTGATGTTCTGCAGCTTGCCTTTCCATGCTGGGTACAGGTGTCATGATGGTGAATTTATGTGTCGACTTCACTGGGCTTCAGGGTGCTCAAGCATTGAGCCAGGCGTCATTTCTGGTGTATCTGTTAGGATGTTTCTGGAAGAAATTGGCACTTGAATCAGTGAATGAGTAAAGCAGATTGCCTTTCCAAAGATGGGTGGGCCTTGTCCAATCAGTTGAAGACCTGAATAGAACAGAAAGGCTGAGTGAGAGGGAACTCCTCCTGCCTGAATGTTTTGAGTTGGGACATTGGTCTTTTCCTACCTTTGGACACAAACTAAGACCTTGGCTCTTGCTGGGTCTTGAGCCTGCTGGCTTTGGGGCCAGAATGGTACTGTGGGCTCTTCTGCTGACCACAGACCTTAGAACTTCTCAGCCTTCTTAGTCGTGTGAGCCAGTTCCATTAATCACTCAGTCTATCTAGCTATCGGTCTGTCATCCATCTATCAATATCTCTCAGTCATCCATCTGTATCCATCCATGTATCCAACCTATCTAGATCCATCTATCAATCTTCTGTACCTACCTATCATCATCTATCATATTCATCCATCTGTCCATCTATCCGTTCATTCATCCATCCATCCATCCGTCTATCTCATGTATCATGTATCTTACTGGTTTATACAGGACCAATGAGAGATACTATATCCATCTGCTGTTGTTCCGTTTCTCTGGAGAATCTGGACTAACACAAGTGTCATCCCCGATGACTGCATGAGGGTCCGCCGTATTTTCTTCTGCGATTGCTCCCAGCTTTGGCAGACCCGTCCTGTGATTCATTTGATTCTTCCCTTGGTGACTGAGTTTGCTGCCAGTGTTTTGCCACCATCAGGTGTCTTGAATATTCTTTTTTTAAAAAAAAAATTTTTATTTTGTAGAGACAGTCTCCCCATGTTGTCCAGGGTGGTCTGGAACTCCTGGCCTTAAGCAATCCTCCCGCCTCAGACCCCCACAGTGCTGGGATTACACCCATGAGCCACTGTGCCTGGCCCTGAATATTCTTGTGTCTGTATCATAGTGTGTGCGCAGGAATGTCTGTAAGTCACCTGTGTGGCAGACGTCTTTTTCGACATTTGTTTTTGGTGTCTTTTGTTGGATAGTCATTTTATATTTTAATGTAATTAAATTTATTTTTTTCCTTATTTGGGGTGTGTGCTTCTTTGGTGTGTCTTGTTGAAGCAATATTTGCTTGAAAATGTTCTCAAGTTTATTCTTAAAGGATTTGTTGGCTGGGTGTGGTGGCTCAAGCCTGTAATCCCAGCACTTTGGGAAGCCAAGGCAGGTGGATCACGAGGTCAAGAGATCGAGACCATCCTGGTCAACATGGTGAAACCCCGTCTCTACTAAAAATACAAAAAATTAGCTGGGCATGGTGGCACGTGCCTGTAATCCCAGCTACTCGGGAGGCTGAGGCAGGAGAATTGCCTGAACCCAGGAGGCGGAGGTTGCGGTGAGCCGAAATCATGCCATTGTATTCCAGCCTGGGTAACAGCAGCGAAACTCGGTCTCAAAAAAAAAAAAAGAGTATTTGTTTCACTTTTTTCTTGAATTTTAAAATTTATCTCAGCTTTTTAAAAAGAAATTCCATTCCCTACTCCACCACAGACCCTGGCAGCCAGCAGCCTACTCTTCTGTCTTTGTGGATCTACGTATTCTGGGTATTTCACATACGTGGAGCCACACGACAGGTAGCCATTTGTGCCCGGCTTGTCTGACTGAGCTACGTATTCTGGGTATTTCACATACGTGGAGCCACACGACAGGTAGCCATTTGTGCCCGGCTTCTCTGACTGAGCTACTTATTCTGGGTATTTCACATACGTGGAGCCACACGACAGGTAGCCATTTGTGCCCGGCTTGTCTGACTGAGCTACGTATTCTGGGTATTTCACATACGTGGAGCCACACGACAGGTAGCCATTTGTGTCCGGCTTGTCTGACTGAGCTACGTATTCTGGGTATTTCACATACGTGGAGCCACAAGACAGGTAGCCATTTGTGCCCGGCTTGTCTGACTGAGCACAGCATTTTCAGGGTTTGTCCTTCTGCAGTGTGGATCCAGACTTCGTTTCCTTATGTGGCGAATGTTCCATTGCTTGCCTACCCCATATCTTGTTTATCCATTTGTCTGTTGATAGACATTTGGGCTGTTTATCCATTTGTCTGTTGATAGACATTTGGGCTGTTTTCATCTGTTGACTCTTGTAAGCCATGCTGCTGTGGTGGACGTGCACGTGTAAATTTTTATATTTCGATTCTCTTGGGTATGTATCGAGCAGTGGAAGTCATGGATCAGATGGCAGCTCCACATTTCATCAGCTTGAGTTCTGTGTATGGCATTGTATTTATTTCCTAGGTCTGTTGTGATAAATAACCACAAATTGAATGGCTTAAAACAGGAGACTTTATTCTCCCATAGAGGTCCCAAATCAAGGTGTGGGCAGGGCGTGGTCCCGCCAGAGGCTCCAGGGGATGATCCCTAAGTTGCCCCTTGCTACTCTCCATGGCTCCAGGTGCTCCTGTGCCTGTGGTCAATCCCTCCAGCCTCTGTTCTGTCCACATGCGGCCACTCTCTCCTGTATGTCTCCACATTGTCTCCTCTCTGTGCTTGTCTGTCTCTGTGACTACTTTTCTCCTTCTCAGGAGGATAGCAGTTGTTGGATGAGGGTGAGGCCCTCCTGAGGACTGCATCTTAACTCGATTGCACCTGCAAATCCTGGGCCCTCAGTCAGGTCCCATCCATGGGTTCTGGGAATGAGGAGTTCAACAGATCTTTTCAGGAGGACACCACTCAACCCATAATAAGTGTGAAGTAGCACTCCAGTTTTCTTTCTTTCTCTTTTTTTTTTTTTTGAGATGGAGTTTCACTCCTTTTCAGGCTGGAGTGCAATGGTGCGATCTCAGCTCACCAAAACCTCTGCCTCCCAGGTTCAAGCGATTCTCCTGCCTCAGCTGCCCAAGTAGCTGGTATTACAGGCATGCACCACCACATCCAGCTGATTTTGTATTTTTGGTAGAGACAGGGCTTCTCCATGTTGGTCAGTCTGGTCTCAAACTCCTGACCTCAGGTGATCCACCCACCTCAGCCTCCCAAAGTGCTGGGAGTACAGGTGTGAGCCACTGCACCTGCCTTTATTTCATTTTAGAAGAAATAAAAGATAGCTGGTTATTCAGAACATTCTTCGCACGCCTCCACAGGGTCACCTTGGTATTTGAATGTGTGAGGGCCAGTTTCCAGGCTGTCTTTACTTTCGTTGGCCTGTTTTTCTAACCCTGAGCGACTATCTTAATTACTACAGCTTCCCGGGTAAACTGTTAGCACATTTGAGAGTCAATGCTTAGAGAGTCAAGACTGTTTCTTGCTGGGACCGCTTTCTCTGCACACTGTCCTCAATGGCCCTGTTCTCTGGACTCTTCTAGATGTGCTAGCCCTGGCGCTGGCTGTTGAAGTGCCAGCAGTGGCCACATGAGGCCCTGGACAGCATAGTGGTGTGCCCTACAAGTGACTCTGTCCAGGGCATCTCCCAGCACAGCAGTGGGACAAGAAGACAATGAGGGGATGTTACCTGAACTGAGCCTCAGAACCCGAAGTCCAGGGGAACATGAATTAGGATCTTGAAGTTCTTCAGAAAGACCAGAGTGCGGGGCGGCCCTGAGTCACTCTGTAGCAGTCATGGAGCGAGAAGAGCCACCCTCTAACCATAATGGAATTGCAAGATTGCCAAGTTAAGTCACCCAGTTAATTGTGGCCCTTAATGTTACTCTAGGAATCTCTGCAGTCCTAATCTTAGCTTTTCCAGGGAGACATGGCAGCTGCTGAGGGCAGGAGGCGTCACCGTGTTCCATGTGACCAGCAGGCTGTGCAGCCTCTAATTTTAAACTGTGATGGGAGAGAGAAGGCTGAGAACTGTGCTTCTGACACTGAGACAAGAGTCCCCAGAGCTTCATTTTCCTTTGACATGGCAGAAAGACTTTGCACAGCCTTTTCAAAGATTTGGCAAATACTGTGGGCCGATTTTTATATTTTTCTGGCATTTATTTCAGTGGATGCAGGATAGATTATTAAAATTCCTGCACTTAATTTAAATTGTTTAAATTATTATACAGGCTTTGTTTCATGAAACCCTTTATCAGAGTATGTGGTCATTTTTAGATTTTCAACCACATTGCTAATTGCAACTGAATTCCTCTTGAACACTGAGAAAACAGTGAGGACCTGTGAGAATTTTTAGAAGTCAACCAACAGCATCCCAGTCCTCACCAGCAGTTGGTTTAAAGCATCTTGCAGATTTGAAATCAGTTTTAATAATGCTCATTAATATGAATCATGTTGACATAATTTTAAGCATGTCGCACTTCCTGTTCTGACTGAGCTTTTTTAAAGATTGTTTTTTTTTTTTTTTTTTTTTTTTGAGACAGAGTTTCGCTCTTGTTACCCAGGCTGGAGTGCAATGGCGCAATCTCGGCTCACCGCAACCTCCGCCCCCTGGGTTCAGGCAATTCTCCTGCCTCAGCCTCCTGAGTAGCTGGGATTACAGGCACGCACCACCGTGCCCAGCTCATTTTTTGTAATTTTTAGTAGAGACGGGGTTTCACCATGTTGACCAGGATGGTCTCGATCTCTTGACCTCGTGATCCACCCGCCTCGGCCTCCCAAAGTGCTGGGATTACAGGCTTGAGCCACCGCGCCCGGCCTAAAGATTCTGTTTTAATTGCCGTTTTGGTGAGAAGGAGTGATTCAGAGGTCCGTGCTTTGCTACCTGTCCCCACACGGTGCTCAAGATCGCGTGGGGGAGAGATGAGTAGTTAAACACACAAAGGTAGGAATTCCAGATCCTCAGTCATTGGACTCCGTTGGACGTGCTTAACCGCTCGGCCTTGTTTTTTGATGCCACTGTCTCCTGGTATCCATTGTTTCAGATGCAAAATCTGCCGTTAATCTCACCGGGCTGCCCTCGCGTATGAGGGGCAGTGTTTCTCTTGTGTATGTTGCTGTGCCTAATCGTGTCACACCTTTCTCTGAAGCTCTGTTCACTGTCTTCATTCCCTGCTCTTTAGACGGCAGAATCTGTCCGTCTGTCCTGAAGTTCTGACTATTTTCCAGCCAGTGAAAAACCTGCCACTGAGCTCCTCTGTTGAACGTTTTATCTCCTGTATCGTACTTTTCCACTTCAGAATTTCCATGTGGTTGTTTGTGTAGTTTCTGCTTCTTATTCTCTATTTCATGCGACATCATCGTGCTTCCGTCTGTGTCTTTTTTGTTTTTTTTTTGAGACAGAGTTTCGCTCTTGTTACCCAGGCTGAAGTGCGATGGCGCGATCTCGGCTCACCGCAACCTCCGCCTCCTGGGTTCAGGCAATTCTCCTGCCTCAGCCTCCTGAGTAGCTGGGATTACAGGCACGCGCCACCGTGCCCAGCTAATTTTTTGTATTTTTAGTAGAAACGGGGTTTCACCATGTTGACCAGGATGGTCTCGATCTGCCAACCTCGTGATCCACCCGCCTTGGCCTCCCAAAGTGCTGGGATTACAGGCATGAGCCACCGTGCCCGGCCGCCTCTGTGTCTTTACGTGTGGTTTCCCTCAGTTCGCCAAACGTAGTTGTAATCGCTGCTGTGAGCCTCCGTCTGCTAAGTCCCGCATCTGGGTCCTCTCAGAGTTTACATTCTCTGTCCCCTGGACCCCAGGTATGGGTCATACTTTCCTGTTCTTTACATGCCTCATAATTTTAATTTTGGTTGAAAACTGGATATTTTAGGCAATATATTGTATCAACTCTGCATACTGATTCAATTCCTCCCTCTCGGAGTTTTTTAATGGTTTGCTTATTTATTTGTTTAGTGACCTGCTCATTTACCCTGCACTGTGAACTCTTCAGTGTCACTCCTCAGATGGTGTGGCCTTGAGCATGCCCAGAGTCACCCTGGGGTGACACTGATTTTAGGAGCTCTCTTTCTCTCTCTCTATCTCTTTCAGGCTGGGTCTCATGTTGCTGGCCAGGCTAGAGTACAATGGTGTGATCATGGCTCACTGTAGCCACCACCTCCCAGACTCAAGGGATCCTCCTGCCTCAGCCTCCTAAGTAACTGGGATTACCCATATGAGTCACCATGCCCAGCTGTTTATTTTCATTTTTTAAATAGAGATGGGGTCTCATGATGTTTCCTAGGCTGGTCTTGAACTCTTGGCTTCAAGCCCTCCCACCTCAGCCTCCAAACTGTTGGCATGGTCCACTCTTCCCAGCCAGGAGAGCCCTCTGTCTCTCCCTGGCCCCTCTGTTAAGCTGTCTTTCTTACTTAATACCCCCCACAGCTACTGACATGGCTGATTCATCTCCTGTTTTTAGTAATGCCCTGGAAACAGAAATTACTCCATTGTCTTTTGGTCAGGGGTCATTTTTGTTTCGTTTTTCTTTTTAATCCGTTGATATTGATACATAACTGGGCGTTTATGCAAAGGAAAGGAAATCGGTATATCGGGGGGCTTCCTGCACCCCCGCATTTATTGCAGCAGTATTCATAGTAGCCAAGATCTGGAACCAACCTGAGTGTCTACCGTGCTGGAGTGGAGACAGAAAATGTGCTACACAGCCAGGTGCAGTGGCTCAGGCAGTAATCCCAGCACTTTGGGAGGCCGAGGCCAGCGGATCACTTGAGGTCAGGAGTTTGAGACCAGCCTGACAACATGGAGAAACCCTATCTCTACTGAAAATACAAAATATTAGCCAGGTGTGGTGGTGCATGCCTGTAATCCCAGCTACTTGGGAGGCTGAGGCAGGAGGATCACTTGAACCTGGGAGGCGGAGGTTGCAGTGGGCTGAGATGATGCCACTACACTCCAGCCTGGGCAACAAGAGTGAGACTCCATCTCAGAAATAAATAAATAAATAAAAATAAAAGAAAGAAAATGTGGCATATATACACAACGGAACATGATTCAGCCATCACAAAGAATGAAATCACGCCATGTGCAGTGACATGGATACAACTGGGGTTGGGTTGTTGAGCATATAAGCCGGGCATGGGGGCCGTTTTGACGCAGGCTTTGAAGTTTGTTCAGACGAGGACATCCTTGGTCGTGCCCTGCTGCGGTTCCTCGGGTGAACTAGCTGGCCTGAGGTTGAGCTGCTTGGTCTCAGGTAAGCGCAACAGTTCTTTTCAAGAGCACCCTTAGGCTTGAACTTCCTTTCCCATGTGCTGCTTCAAATGCACTCAGTTCCTATGGGGAGCACTTTGGAACCTTCTGTTCTTGGGAACTTCTTTTCCCCTTCGGCAAATCTTGGAGTCAGTTTTCTGGGCAGTGGCAGCCTGTGGTCTTCTTGGTTTGCATCAAACACCAGACATCCGTGTCCTGTGGTTCCGCCGACCCTGAACTGTTGCGGTAACCCAGCTGCGGAGCACCTGACTGTGAGCTCTGTGATGAGGCTTGGTGGTGTGCAGACTCGGCTTTCAGTAAGAGTCTACAGCTTTTCTTCTGCAGACACACACATACCGGTTTGAGCGGGAGCCAGGCATGGCTGACTTCCCCATGGAAGGGACAGGGCTGGGTGTCACTGAAGGCCAGGCGCTCTGCTCGTGAGGCTCTCACGCCATCTGAGGAGTGAAGCTGACAGGCATCTCACACTTGGCTTTCTCTGGCACAGGTAGGATTTTAAAATGAGGCACTTTTCCTACACATGTGTAACATGCTATAGATATGGCCTAGAAGACCACATTCAGGGCCGGAGGGTGGCTCACACCTGTAATCCCAGCACTTGGGAGGCTGAGGTGGGCGGATCATGAGGTCAGGAGTTTGAGACCAGCCTGGCCAACATGGTGAAACCCCGTCTTTACTAAAAATACAAAAATCAGCTGGGCATGGTGCCATGTGCCTGTGGTCCCAGCTACTTGGGAGGCTGAGGCAGAAGAATCATTTGAACCCAGGAGGCAGAGGTTGCAGTGAGCCAAGATGGTGCCATTGCACTCCAGCCTGGATGACAGAGTGAAACTCTGTCCCAAAACAAAGAAAAAAACACATTCAGAAGCCATCAGGGATATGAAAGAGGCACAAATACTTCAAAGCCAAGGCAATGACCAACCCCATCTGCTGAGACAGCATACAGTTGCTGTTGTGAAGAAATGAAAGCCACTTCCTTACAGAGTCCTGTCCTGGGGGATGGGTTTCCCAGCACTCCTGCCCTGAGGCCTCACGTGTCTGTCCCAGATCTGCCCCCCATCTTTTCATTCATGATGCAAACTCTGCAGGGTTCTCACCACAGACTTGCCTTTGCAAACACAACATGATTTTCCTTCTGAAGCTCAGCCAGAGCTACCCCAGTGGTTTGGAGGAACGGGTCCCAGCCCTGTGATTGGTGGGACTCTGTGGTGCCCCCTGGGCATGGAGTCCTGGCATGCCGCCCCCTTACTGTGTTGTGATTGGTTGTCTCAGTGGCTAGCTCTTCACTTTCACCCTGTTCTTCTTACTGTGTTAAAATATGTAGAACACAGAATTTACCATTTTGACCATCTTCAGTGTCCAGTCCAGTGGCATCAAGCCCATTCATGTGGTTGTGCAGCCACCACTGCCACCGCCTCCAGAGCTGCCTCACGTTCCAAACCTGACAGTCTGACCCAAACACATCAGTCCCCAGACCCCCACCCCAGCCCCTGCAACCCCGTTCTACCCTCTCTCCATGGGCGTGACGCCTCTGGGGACCTCACAGGAATGGAGTCAGTCTTTGTCTTTTTGTGCCTGGCTTATTTAGTCACCGTAATGTCCT